ATAAATAGAAAAACCCTCAGCAAGTGTCAGAGCAGAAGAAAGCTGCAGAGAAAAATGGCAAATGTTACAAAACAGACCCCAAAGCCCAGCACAAAGCTCTCTCACTAACATCTGTCCCACGCAGCCCCTGTCCCCATTGCTGTCACCTTTAGCCTTGCTCAGGGCCATGGGGCCGTGACCCCAGCAGGCAGCACGCGCTGGGGACTGCAGGGACAGGAGGTGGTGACACTGCACGGGGACCAGGGCTGCTCCTGGTGCTGCAGTGGGGCTCTGTTCCCATTGCAGCCATTGGGCCCTTGGCCATCCCGCAGGATTCTGTGGGTTTGAAGTTCTTTTTTCCTAGATATATTGAGACCAGCTTCAGATTTGTCTTCAGAGAGGGCTCAGAGGATTCCCCAAGAGTTTTTGCAGAGAGAAGCGAAACAGGAGCCTGCAGCATGTTGCAGTGTGAGCTCAGCCCCATATGAGCCAGCAGAGAACCCACAGGCTGCACTCAGCTGGCAGCTGAGGTGGGCTCCAGCTCCAATGAGGGCTTTAATAGGGCGCTGCGTTTTGGGGGTGCCCATAGGTGCTGTGTCACCGCTGAGGGACCCGCAGCACGAGGTCAACCCTGGGTGGCAGGGTGCCGACGTGCTCCTGGGCTGGAGATATTGGGGTGACACGGCACCAGTTGCTGTGGCAACTTGGGACAAGGGCAAGCTGTCCCCTGGCGTGGTGATGCCACCTCGGCGACAGAGGGGACCACGAGGACCCTAAGCTGGGGTGCAAGTCAGCACGGCCTCACGGTGATGCCACCTCGAGGCAAAGGACAGAGGACGCACGGGGACCCCAAGCACCGCGGTGATGCCACCCGCACGGACACGGCTCGCATCCCGCGTGGGGCTCCTGACCGCCGCAGCCGCTCGGCACCGACCCTCCCCCGGCTCACAAAGAACGGCAGTCCGTCCGTCCGTCCGCCCGCCCCCCCGGGGCCGCCCCCGCGCCGCTGCCCAATAAACGCGGCCGCATTTGAACGGGGCGCCGCCTCCGGTAGCCACGCTCCGTTCCGTACAGCTCCGTTCCGCTGCGCTCCGCCGCGCCCGCAGACACCGGCACGGCGCCGGGTGAGCACGGGGAGCATCGGGGGGAGGTTGGGTGGGGGGCCGAGCTCCTTCGGTTCGCCTACCGGGACACCTCGCGTCGTTCCGGGCGGGCTGAAGGACGTAGCGAGCTGCCGGCGGGGGGCTGGGATGGTGACATCGCTCCCTTGTCATTGGCGAAGTCCCCAGACGGCAGCTGGTGGGTGAGCGCGGGGCTGGGGGTGAGACCCTAAAGCGGAGCCCCTTAGGGTCAGCCGGAGCGAGGAGCTGGGGGTAAGGCTCTGGTTTTTTTGGTGTGTGTTGCTTTGGGATGGCGCGTTGGTGTTTGAGCATCTTCCGTGTGTCCGCCGTGGGGGTGCCGGTGTGTGGCACCGTGATTCAGCACCCAGTCGTGTCCTCGGGGCTCCGTCCCCGCTGCTCTGCACAGCTCGGGAGCACCGCTCGGGTGTTGGCCCTCATGGGTGTCTTCCAATTGGGGGTGTCCTGTGATTCTATGATCCCTAGAGTTTGGATTTTGGGTGGCCCTGTGCAGAGGCAGGAGTTGGCCCCGATGTCTTTAAGGATCCACTCCATCTCGGGGTGTTCTGTCATTCTGTAGTTTACAAGGTTTGGATTTTGGGTGGCCCTGTGTGCAGCCAGGACTTGGACCCCACAATCCTTACAGCTTCCATCCTACTCTCACTATTCCACAACTCCATGACCACTGGCTCTGTGGTCTCAGTGCCCACGCTCTGGGTTTCATCCCAACGGGGGTCCCCCAAGTTGTGGGGCACAGCCCCATGGCAGCTTGCAGAACCCCAGCAGATGGGAGCATTGTTTTTCCTTATTGAAAGGACCCATTACAATGCAAATCCTGAGGTGCTGTGAATATTCAAACCTCTGTGCTGCTTTGAAGCTCTTTACATAAATTTATAGCTCTTTATTTGTCATCGCTTCCTCGCTAATCTGCGGGTTTGTTAACAGCATCATCCCCTCTTGCTGCCAGTTCTGGAGGGGTTGGTTGTGTTTTGGGGGTGAGAGGTGGCACTGAGGGGCTGTGGAAATCATTGCAGTGCTCAATGGGGAGGGGGAAATGCCAGCTGTAGGGTTGGCTTTGGGGTGACTTTGGGGTGACCCTTGGAGAGATGGGTGCGTTGTGGTCATGGACTGATGGTTGGGTGCTGTTGTTGTTGGCTTTTTCTCTTTCTCGTTGATTTTTTTGTCCATTGGGCTTTTGGGTATTGTTCAACCAAGGAGATGGTGGGGCCTGAAGTGGATTAAGCTCAGAAATCGCCCCAAAAGAGGCAAAATAGGGGTCTGTGGTTTGAGCAGGGAATGATGTCAGCTCAGCCCCAGCTGTGCTGTGTGAGATGATTCATTAGGGAAAGGAGATAATAAGCTCAATGAGACAGCTGACCTTCCAGAAGAGCTCCAGGGTCCCGTGTCAGTGGCACCTTGGAACAAAATGCTGTGCCAATGCCTGGGTCCCAGCCTTGCTCAGCACAAGGTGACATTGGCCATATTCTGCAGCTGCTGATGTTCTGGCCATGGCCATGTGATGGAGCTCCAGTGAGTGACCGTGCGCTGCTGGATGCCAGGGCTTGGTTGGGTCACAGCAGTGACTTGGTTTGGGTGCACAGAAATGCCATCCTCATTTCTGTGCAGCCTGAGGGGAGGGATGCAGGCAGAGCAGCACTGGAACAGCACTGGGAGAGGCTCCTTCCTTGCACTCTTTGCTTTGATAAGCAAGTGCTGTGCCAGCTGCGGTGTGCCATCGATGGATCGGCCATGTGCGGCTCCAAGGCTAAAGCCTGGAGGTTGGGATTGGCTCAAAGTACTGAATTACCACGTTAGCCTGTATTGCTGGGGTTAAACTGAGCTGGGAATGGCATTGTCAGCCTCTGTGTTGAAGGGGGTGGGTGCAAAAGGGAGGAGAGAAATGCTGGGGGAATTCCTTATCTCACCATCCCAAGTGTTTGGCTGCCAAAGGCTTGCCATAGGGGTGGTAGAAATAACAATGATAACAACAACAAAGTGCAGCTCACC